TGCTGCTTCTGTTCAACAGTATAGCAGCTCAGTCTAAACTTATCACTCGGATCATGGAATATTGCCTGAAAAAATCACACAAATAATGCTGTAATGCAAAACGAGCCGGTATGCTATTTTCTTTTCTTCGTTAAAATGACTATTATAAAATCAAAGAAAATTTTTTAAAAAAAAAGACAGACAAATTTTTAATGTCCGAGATTCTCCATTGAGAGATATATTATAAACTGGGGAAAATAATTAATTCGCTAACGAGCCATCTTTAATTGCTTCTGATGACCTCTTGACAAATAAACATTTATTAGAAGCGCTATAACTTTCCAGGCCGGCCTCAAATTCATCATAAGATTAAAACTCGGCTCCTGCACAAAACGCCTTTTTGCCCGAAGTGATCCCGGTCTCTACCCAGCCTGAGGCGAGTCACGAGTGAGGCAGGACAGGAAGCCAGATTCACGAGTCACAGGAAGTCGGAAGTGATGTCATGCTGGACAAGAATCAGAGTCCGAATAACATTTTTTCATATTCGGACTCGAGTCCGAATAATCACTTCGATCTACTATTTACACAAGAAAGTGGCTATTCTCACCCGCCCGGAAGTTCTCGCAAGATCTACTCCTCCCCTCTTCTCTCTCTCTGTGTCTCTTTCTGAATACTGTCTATCGGTGTGGACGATCAAATTGACCAAAACAAAGTTAAAAAATGATGTTAAAACACAAAAGTAAATTAATTTGGTTGTCTACAAAGATGCTACGGCTATTTAACTTTTCGAATCGAGCCGAACTACGCGGGTCGCCATTTTGTATTGTTCTCTCTCTCACTCTCTCTCTCTCCCCTGCCCACAGACAAAATTGTACGCTTTTAGTAGGCTACAAGTACAGTTGTTTGTAATGGAACGTTTGTTCACAGCACAGAATTCTACAATTTTTCTCTTATCACAGTGTAGAATTCTGTGGTTTAGGGTGAACGCAAAATTTGTTGACACGCGCACCAGGTGAGAATAGCCACAAGACCCGCCTGCACTATTCTCACCCCCGGTGAGAATAGAGGTGGCCTTTACACAAACCCCTCAAAACACCAAACTGAAAAAAATCTGCAGGTCCTGCAGATTTCAGAAAGCGGACTCCGCTGTACTACAGTACTATGTACACTCCTGCCAGGTGGGTAGGCTACTAGATCTAGAATCTACATGTAACAAGAAGACTTACTCTTGCACTTGCAGATGCAAACGTGACAGTTTCTCCCTTTGCTTTGGCCTTGGCTTTTGGCTTTGGTGAAGTCTTCTGAAAACCCGTCCTGAAGGCTTAGGCCTATACCTTACAAAGAAACACTAGATATGTATACTACTAAATGAAAATGCTTAAAAAGAGTCGTCTTTTCAAGCTTTTTTGAACTATTGTTTGGGAAATTATCATGAATCATTGGAGATCAGATCATGGATGGACGGAATGACGGGAATGCTGTGACAAGTATTGATGTCCCACAGCACGGATTTTATCCGTATATAGATTCCACAACTTGCTCCATAGTGTGTGTAAGAATACAAACGATTAGACACCTTGGTCGACAAAGGAGACTAAAATGCAAACATAGATAGAAAGCCGTCAGTTAACTAGATCTAAATCTAAAGAAACAGTACGAAACACTAATCGCCTGCCTTAGCTGATTCCAGTCAAGCCCAACAAAAGTAAACTTCCGTTTCGTTTCCCGTTCCGGAAGTTGTGCTTTATTTTGATATGCATCTGTGTCTGCCTACACCTTTTCGTTTAGCTTATATTTAAGGCTATGTACACTCATTAGCTTCTTACCGGGGAAAAAAACCCGAACACATTTACAGTTCAGCTTGTTGTAGAATCGTATTTCGAATCAAAATTTGTACAGCCCACCTTTAAACAGATACATGTATATGCACAAACAGACGTATTCGTACACACACATACTCGCACACACACCACTCCACTCACAGAGATATACACCACATACATACATACATACATACATACATACATACACACATACATACATTCGTACGCGTGCTCATGCACACACAATATAATACGTGCGTGCGCACTCATTCACACACATAACAAATATGTACAATCTGTAAAAATCAAATAGACATCTTCTAAAGTAAAAGTGTACGTATTTTCCATGTTCTGACAACTGATTCTAGGCTAACCCGAACACATTTACAGTTCAGCTTGTTGTAGAATCGTATTTCGAATCAAAATTTGTACAGCCCACCTTTAAACAGATACATGTATATGCACAAACAAACGTATTCGTACACACACATACACGCACACACACCACTCCACTCACAGAGATATACACCACATACACACACACACACACACACACACACACACACACACACACATACACACATACATACATACATACATACATACATACATACATACATACATACATACACACACACACACACGTGCGCGTGCTCGTGCACACACAATATAATACGTGCGTGCGC